CTGCAAATCTCTTATCTCTCTCAAAAAAAATTGCAGAGTTGTGTTTCAGAAACAACAAAAAAGCCAACTGATAGTTAACCCAGCTCTTAACTAAACTAAACTTGACAAAGCACTAGAGTCTTAAAGCTTAACAAAACAAAGCCTGTTTAACTGAGTACAGAATTTGGCCTTATGTTGGAAGTTATTTGTGTAATTGAATATCGTGCATATTTACCCAAAATTCGATTATACGCATCATGTTAACAAATTCAATTATGACATTTTATATATAACTGGGTCATGATAGCACAAATATGAAATACGATAAAATGCCAAACATATCAAATGTTCAGCTCAACAAATGCGCACCTGCTGTCAACATCCCCCCCACACACACACACACACACACACGCACAAAAGCATTGAATGATTCATAATTTTGCAGATTTTGCACATATTTTGTGCTCTGTAATCGTTATCGATTGGCCGTGTAAATTATGCATATGCACATTCCCAAACAAAAACACACACACACACAAACCGCAAACAATCGCAACTCTTTGAATTTATGCACTCTACTAAGCCCCTCCCCCTTACCAGCCCCCCATCCCCCCTTCGACTTACACGTTAAATGTTATTAATATACATGGCTAGCTACACACACCCCAACCTCACATGTCGATATGCATGTGTATATAAATCGATAAATTTTATTTAGTTCCGTTTGCCGGCTTTCACTTTGCCTCCCACACACCCCTCGCCACCTTCCCCCCCGCCGCTCTTCCGTTGCCGCTGTCAGGCTAAGGACATGCGTTGGCGCTTAACCCACATAACAGAATTTTTAGTACAGTGCGCCCCCACTTTATGTGTACATGTCATTTGCTGTACCTTTTTTATTTTTATTTTATTTATTTTTTTTGTATATTAAAGCCACCCTCTGTTTATTTTTTTGTGTGTGTTTCCTTTGCTTTTTTCTGTTTGACTTTGCTTTCCTTTCCGTTTCCTTTATCCTGCGCTATGACAATACTTCAGTATTTTTATTTTGTTGCGTGCTGCGTTTTTTTGCTCCCCATTTTTTCTTGATTTTTTTTATTGTCTCCTCGCCAATTGCCGGTTTTCGACAGCGTTACAAATATATTTGGATTGTTCCATTGTTGCCACAAATATTGCGGCCCAAATAACAAATTCCTTCGTTTCTTCGTTTTGTGGCTGTTGGCATTTGGTCTTGTTTAAGAGGCTAATAGATTTTCAGGCAATTCGCCATAATATAGATTTTATGTCAAGTTCATTATGAAAAGACAAAACTATGGGAAGTAAGTATGGATAGATAGATGGATGTACATACATACATATATGTGGGTTGGGTAAATGCTGTATACCCAAATCCCACTGTGCACAACCAACAGCACAAGAATCCCTAGACAACGAACACGCTAAAAGACGAACGACGAATACACGACGCGTAACAACGAGCAAAGAAGACGGCGAATTCGCAGACGGCGAGTTATCCAAAAACGACGATCAACGAGGACAGTGCAAAGCCACGAGGGCAACGTACTGGACGTAGAGCAGAAGATGTTTGCTCGTTAAGACGAAAAGTTCAACGCTGGACCTGTGTGGTATGAAGGCTGAGAACAAAACGACGAAACGACGTGTTACTTTGATTCGAATGATAATCATCCTAAGCAATACAATTTGTTAAATCAACAATACACTTGTTTATAATAAACTTTTAATATAAAACCCCACATATATATATATATATATATATATATATATATATATATATATTGTATTGATGTATAGATATGAAGATAGATAGCTGGGTGGATATATAGATAGATAAATGGATATATAGATATAAAGATATAACGATATATATGCAAAATATATCCATTTATCTATCTATATCTATAAATCCATTTAATACATATAACTCAGAATTTAAGTAAAGAACGATTTTCTTAATTAAATATTGTGTGCATTTCTTAGGCAGGATCGACTGTTGATAGCCTGATTTTCGACCATACAGATAATTAGAGAGTATTAGAGTTGCTAACATCTGAGGTTTTTGAATGTTAGGACAGGACAGCATTTAATGCATATATAATATAGCATACTTTCCAGCTGTATTCTAAAAATTATTGCAGTCTTCAAAAAGTATGCAATCATAAAACTAGCTTAATATAGCTGAGTTCACCGAATAGAATAAAAGTCAAATATGAAAATCCATACAGAGGAAATGACCAGATAACAGACTAACTTTTCTTAACAGTAATGCTTAACATAATCCTTAACATACATGAGATCTGCTGCCAGAGTGCCCGTATATACTTCTGTGAATGCAAGGCATTTCTAATTTCACATCACATCGCACTTAATTTCTGTCTCTCTCTCTTTTCGCTTTCGAATTAAAAACTATCCTAGACAACTGTTAAAAAAAACTTCCAGATAAATCAGTTATTTATGGCAGTCATTGCTTATGTATATATACATATATACTTTTGTCTTTCTCATTAATAAAACTTGAGGTCATGCTGCGAGAAATCCTTCATTATGGCTATTCCCGCGAGTTCATATCGATGCCATTTAACGAGACCAGCCCAGTCGCAACTGCTGCGTGTCATATTATGGCCCACATATGTGGCACTGGCTGCTGGCGAAATGAGCAATACGTTCCAACTTCTGTGGGCTTCAACCAACGCTACGCCCCCCACCGCACGCCCCATGCCGGGCACAACTTTGCAGTTGATAACAATCATTGAGCTGTGTTGGTTTTGGTTCGCTCGGTTCAGTTGGGCTTTGTGTTTTATGTTGTTGCCTCGGATGAAAGTTTCAACATTTTCTCTATGTGGCACGCGAAAAAGTTCAAGGACATACCGAAGGCTTTGCACTTGTGGGCGGCCAAAATGTACCCCAATGCTTGTTTAACTTGTCTGCGCTGAAAATTGCATTTTCGATTAAGCCAGCTATGTAAACTGCATTTTTGGGCACATCTAATATTGCGGCTACATATATATTATACGTTTGTAGCATATTGTCGAAACTTTTCTTGTCGGCCCCTAAACGATAAGACCGAAAGTTTTTGCGCCCATTGAGATTCGTTGTAAACGTCTTGTTAAACTGAATTATTTCGAGCTTGAGTTCATATACGAGCAGAAACTTGAGTTATTTTGTTGCTTAAACAGCTTGGGAATTGCTTGAGCAGTAGGAAAAACAAAAAGCAAGCATGTGTGGCTCTAAGGCTTGCATTTTGTTAGTTATGTAGTTTTGCATTTTATGTATTTTTATTGCGCCACAAAGGAGAATTCCCCATTAAAGTTGATGCCACAAATGTCCTTTGCATAATCATTAACAGCCCCAACTCTCGGCCATTTAATCATCCATTTCTGGCACAAGCCCCACGTGCTTAATAACCCAACTCCCTTTTCCAACTGCAATTAAATAATTACATGATAAAAATATATATAATCTGTGTAGATATTAAATACCATATAGAAGAAGCTCGGCACATGTCGCATTTCATAAGGAACTCAGCGTAACCAAAACCTGCCCCCATTTAATTATATTAGACTGCAATTAGCTGTGCGTTTAGCTTGTACGCAAACAACCCCCAAGAAAGGCGGGTTGAACACAGTTAAGAGTATGCGTCTGTATAGATATCCTGTATATTGATAGTTTCTTAGGGTAGATGGAGAATGTTATTGAAAAAACTCTTAACAACTAGAATCATGGTATGAAAAAAAAAATAAAAAGAAAATTACCTAGACTTAAGTGGAACGAGATTAGCTTAAGCATAATATATCTAAACATTTTTAAATAAAGCATATGAAAATATGATAAATGTGGAAAAATATTTAAAATTAAGAAACAACAATTTGCAAATATAAATAAATATATAAATTTATATATATAAAAATACTTAGTTCGAAATCCGGCGCATTATAAGGTACAACACAATCTGCTTAAAATTTACAGGGTATACAAAACCTACCGAAAATTGCATATGCTGATGACATCAGCACCAGACAACCCCTGCCGTTTATGTTGACTGCTGTTCGCTATCAAAACCAGCTCCCCAACACGCCCGCCAACACCCTCGCACCTCAGCTACCCTGTTTTAAAGTGCGTTGAACTGATGCCAAGTGGAAACGCCCCAGTGAACTACATTGCAGGGTGGCGCCTGCCAAAAAACACAAAGTCTAAGCACGTGCGAAGCGGCGGATGGTAGAGTCGAGGGACAACAGACCAGTTGGCGCCACGGCGCAAAAATAACTACGCACTTTACGATTCGCGGACGCCTGCTACACGGGGTGGCAGGGTCAGGGGCAGGGTTTGCAGCTACAGTCTTAGGTCAGCCGACAGCTGTCGCAATCTGTTGAGGCATTTGCCAGATTTGCACACCCTGTACACATTCATGCGGATATGCAAAAGGGTATATTGAAGTTGTATATTATCAGCCATACAGAAGCTAAATAAGCTCACATTTTGTGTACCACACGCAAATCAAGTATATTCTATGATATGGATAACTCTCGTCTCTTGCTAGTTTGATAAATATGTATAATTACAAAAGCATATCGATAACTCGAAATACAAAAACTCCTTAACAAAAATCGAGAAATATCAACTCCTAAAAAAGCTGCTCAGCTTTTGGAGTATGGTGTACCATATGCAGATCAACTTCGATAAGTCAACTTGGCCAAAAACGATACATTTCGAATATTAAAAAGTTCGTATACCATATTCAGATAGGTTTATAGTTTAACTATCGATTACTGCTGATTTGCTAATATTGATAAATATCGATGCTCGATTAGTAAAAAACATGCAAATAACGTTTATAGGTAAACTATCGATAGCTACCGATTAATATAAAAGCTACAGATATCACATTTGGTATGATCAAGAATATTGAAGTGCTTGGACACCTTCTGACATGCATCTGTATACAAGAATAGAGTTCGGATCCAGGTTATCTTCCAGTCGAACAATGTCGACTAGATGACGATGATAACAATATGATAATAATTGTTTTTGGAGTAGTGTGGGATGTGGGATTAGTTTGGGCGTGACTTCGCTGTTGACTCAATTAAGCCAAAACAAATTAATTCATGAAATATTTTGGCTGTTTATTTTCATTGTAGGATCCAGCTACGACACGCATACCACGCCTGGATGGCATCTCGCGCATACCACCGCCAGGCAGTTTTGGTGGCACCACCTCGCACATACGCCCGCCCACAGCGCTGAAGTCGAGCACACAAATCTTTCGGGCGCCGGCCGCGCCGGCCAATAGCAAGGCTCGTCCCATTAGCTCCTATCATCCGGCGGCGGCGCCGCTGCATGATCTCGGCGCCAGCATCAAGAAGAGCGCCTCCGGCGAGCGGCTAAACAATGCTGTCAGTTTGATTAGCAAACGCACCACCAATGTGCTCAAGAAGTACTTTGGCCAGGGCAAAATGATGGGCGCCAGCGTGGGAGGAATACAGGGAGCAGCTGCATCCAGCCTGATGACCAGCTCGCTGCCACACACTCCGCTGCCAGCCGCCAAACAGCCGCAGCAGCAGCAGCAGCAGGAGCAGCAGCAGAGGCAACCGCAATGCCTGCTAACCAGCAGCACGCCCATGCCGCTCATGCGCTCCGAGACGTTTGTGTGCAATGAGGAGGAGCAGCAGTTAAGGGAGCGGGAGCCGAAGGGGGAGCAATCACAGATGCAGTTAACGCTCTCAGGCACACCCACGTTGAATCGCACGCGCCTGGAAAATACGCGTCTCTCCAGCGTGGGCTTTGGACGCACGTTGGATTTGGATGCAACATTGATCGACTCAAGCTCTTCACTGAGCCGTACTCGAACTGTCATTGTGGACAAGAAGGAACAGCCGGAGCAGCTGGATTCCAATGCCACACAGCTGGTGAGCCCTTTGAGTTTCACTCGGCTAGCAACTAGCTCTGCTCAGGTGGATCGCACACGCACTGTAATCCCTGCTAGCGACGAGCCAGCAGATGCCACACAGCTGCTGGGCAATATCAGCGGCGATCGAGCGGATCGCACGCGTCCCGTAATCCCTGCCAGCGACGTGCCAACCGAGCAACTGGATGCCACACAGCTCTTGGCCAATTTGAGCTGTTCCCGTGCGGATCGCACGCGTCCCGTGGTCAGCGAGGCGGCCGATGCCTCGCAGCTCAATCGTGCCGATCGCACACGTACCATCAACGCCGCCGGCGGCGAACTAAGCCATGAGCTAAACCTGGACTTGACTAAGAGCGTAGAAAAGCTGCCGTTGCTGGAGCACATGTCCATGCCCTCGGGCCTGGATCTGCTGATGAACGGCATCAAATCGGATTTGCCGCTGGATGCGGAACTGGATAATACCGAGTTGGATGTGACGCTAACCGCCTTGGCGCCGGACAAGAGCACCATGAAGCTGCCTCTCAACTCGACCATCAACACGGAGCGCCTGCTAGACATCAGCGGGCTACAGTCGCCGGCACGGCACATTCAGCTGCTCAATTTGACGCGCGAATTTCTGGAGCAGACGCCGCAACGCTTGCCACAGCACGGCGCCGGAAGTCGATCGATGCCGCAACATTCGTTGGTCTGCCTGACGCCGCAGTCGGCGACAACGACGCCGCATGGCAGCGGACGCTATCAGCAAACGCCGGTGCCAGTGCATCTGTTGTCGCCGCTGTTGAAGGCGGCACGCAGCGATCTGGTGCTGCCCACGCGCACGCCCGAGGGTGAACTGTTGCCGCCACATCTGGTGGATGGCACGCTGGGTGCAGCGGTGCAACTGCGTACGCCGCGTACGCGCTACAGTTTTGGCCTGGAACTGCAGGAGAGCACGCTGGACTCCTCCTTAGAGTTGGTCGATAATTCGATTTCCTCATCGCAACAACAGCTGCAGCAGTTGCAGCAGCAGCTGCTCAAGAAGCAGCACAGTTTCGATTTGGATGAGAGTTTGGGCATACTGACGCCGGATCAAATGAAGGAGTTTTTGGACTCATCCTCGCAGCACAACAACAGCAATAATCCCAATCTGAGTCATCAGCTGGAGCTGCAGCTGGTTGCCGCCGCGGCACAGCAGCAACATTTCCAGCAGCAACTGCAGCAGCAGCAACAACAGCAACAACAGCAGCAACACTTGCAACTGCAACAGCAGCTGCGCCTAGAGCAGACACCTTCGCCGGAGGAGCTGCCTCTCGATCCCATAGAACCGCAGCTGACGGCTGCTTTGGCGGCACCAGCGCCCGCCAACGCCGCCACCGCGGCTGTCGTTGTTGCCGCTGCGCCTGCCGCGCCCAAGCTGAGCAACAGCTTTATCACCAGCGTAACCAGTGTGACCAGTCTGGATACGGGCTATCAGGGCGACGGCGAAATGTCGCGTCCAGCATCGCGCGGCGCCTGCGATCATTCGCCCAGCAATGGACCACACTTGGGCCGCGTCAGCCGCCAGCCCAGCTTTCCGCCCATGCCGGCAGCGCCGGCGGCTCCGATGCGTCGTCAGGATCCGATGACCGATTCAGATTTCTTTACCGAATCCGATGCGGATGATGTGCTGCAGCGCGGCGATCGGCGTGCCCAGGTCATTGATGGCCAGCTATATGGTCCGGCCATGCAGCCAAGCGCCTCGGTGCCGCAGCTCGAGGATTCGTGCATGGAATCATCGGGCATTTTTACGGATGTGGAAAATCGCTGCGATGAGGAAATGCGCCTGCCCGAGCTGGAGCCGGACATCGAAATGGAGATGGAGATGGACATGTCGCCCGACGAATCCACGCAAACGCTGCGCAAAGCTCAAGGTCAAGCGCACAGAGCCGACCATCAACAGCAGCAGCATTCGCAGTCGCAGTCGCTGTCTCAGTCTCAGTCGCAGCCGCGTCCGCTCTCTTCTTCGTCGGCCGCAACGACGCTCTCCAATCGCACCTCGTACTGCAGCGTCGACGGCGGCAGCGCCAAAAGCTTTTGCGACGAAGCTTTCAACTCGAGCAGCGACCAACAGCAGCAGCAGCAGCAGCCGTCGCAGCAGCGATCATCAGTACAGCGTGCAGCGTCGCCGCGTCCACACGCATCGTTAACGTCGCTCTGCACAGTTGAGAATTTTAACAGCGCGTCGCTGTCTTCCAGCTCGTCGCTCGCATCGCCCAAATCGTCGTGTAAAATAACAACAACAACATCCACTGCAAATAAAAAATCTCCCCTCACGGCGCGCAGTGTTAAAACGCCCAATAAATGGGATGCAGTTATGCATAAAATCGCCAGCAATAAGTCAACCATCAAAACTAATTACAATGATGTGAAATCCAAAGTTTCTACCACGCGCAACATGGCCGGATCTGGATCGGGATCGGGTGCCGGTGGATCGGCTCCACGCAGCCCCTCGAGCAGCAGCGGCAGTCCGCGCATAAGTCCCACGGTAAGGCGTTCGCCTTCGGGCACGCCGCTGGTCAAGCGCAGCAGCAGCGTTAGGCCTACGAATGCCACGCCCACAACGTCGACGTCAACGCGGCAGCCACAGGATAAAGGCTCTGTTGGCGTCGGCGCCGGCGTCAATGTGTTCGCGCGTCTCTCCAAATCGCAGTCACCCACATCGCCCACTGCAGCCGCAGCAGCAGCAAAGCGTTTGCAGCCGGTTTTAGTTAAACGGTAAGTCTCAAATGAATGCTCCACCTCCATGTTCAGATTATAAGTATTTGTTTTTGTCTTATTGGTTTGAACTCTTCTTGAAATCATTGTAGAGTATATATTGCAGCTCACATATTTTTTTTTGGGCTCCAGCTCTAAACATAAGTGCTTGTTTCACCTCCATGTTCAGATTATGTGCATTTGTCCCTGTCTTTTAAGATTTCCTCAGTTTTTTCTCTCACTTATTTTGTTAGGGATATGTTTTATTGTCAATGTATTATCGTCAGTCTCCTAATAGCTAATCACAAATGTTTCCCAGAAATAGTAAAATGTTTTGTCAAGCTCCAAAGCTTTTCTTCAATATCCACTTGGCGTGCATTTCCATATCAAACGAATTTTAATAGGTAGTTCCGGAGTCTTTTTTTTCCCATTCTCACCGTGCATCTTTTTCGCGTATTTATTGTTTCCAAGTATCTTATCTACTTGTCAAGTGGATGCCTAGTTTACCTTTGCCTGCGTCTGCTCTTATCAGTTGCGCCTGCTGATTGATTTCTTGTGTTCCACTTTCTGTTTATAAGGCTATCGAATTCCGAGTTAATAGCCATCGTTCACCTGCGAGCGATAAAATCGCACCCCTCATATATATGCGACTAGAATGTACATTAATAAAATTGAGTTCAGGGTCAGTTACGAGTTTTTGAATAAACTGGCGCAACAGGCCGCTTAATTGTTGTTCCCAACTGGAAATTTTGATCTAGAGGCTGTAGAGTTTTAACTAAATCTAATTAACATAAACAACTTGATTAAAGGACAGCGAACTTCATTTCATATGCGAATTTAGTATGTTTGATATTAATTAGAAAATCATTTTGTTAAATCCTAATATCTTATAATTCACAAAAATTCCATTCAGAAGTTCTCTACAAATAGTAAACGAGTTTAAGCTTTTTCTATGCTGATGAAGCTTTTTCGCTGTGGAGATTTCAATTTTCATATATTTTTTTGCATGGAATTACATTATTTGAAATACTTAAATAGTATTTAAATTGAATCAATTTTTAATTAAATTATCTGTTTTTTTTTTAGAATTATCTGCTCTCTTAAAACTAACATAGAAAATGTTTCTAATAGTCCTACGGTGTCATCTTTAGCTGGGCAACAGTTACTAATTACTCAGATCTTAATTGTTTATCTTCTCACCGTGACATTATGCACATTGTGGCCCGTGAATGTCAAACATAAACAAATTAGCCACACTGGACTAACAGAATGGACTTCAATATGACCAAGAAACAGCAAACCCTAACCCCAAGATCCACAACATAGTTAAACAAAATTTTGGGCACAAAAGTCAAATTCAGCTATGTGCGAGAGAGAGAGGGAGTGAGAGAGCGAGAAACGATAGAAGAGAAGCGCATTGCGTGAAGCGAGAAGCCAAAGCAAAGCGACGCCAAGTTGAACAATTTATTGGACCCGTGTCGTGTATAATAAGCATCATTTGTCGGTCTAGGGGGCGCCTAATATTTAAGCATAAATTAGGGCGGGGTTCAAGGAGAGTTATGGAGTGGCTGACTAGGGGCTAACCCAAAGGGGGGAGAGTTGCTGGTCTAGGCCGGCTTATGCGTGTGCGCTGTGCTTAATTTCACAGTAATTTTTTTGGCATTAAAAACGAGACGCACATGAGTTGAGCTCAACATTTGTTTTGTCATGTGAACCAGGCAAATGCCCCACGCCCGCCCGCCCCACCTCCTCAAACTCGTTCGTTCCGGCCGAAGGGGCGTATGTGCATTATACAAATTAATACAAAAGGCAACAAAGAGCAGCAGATTGGCAAAGAGTGAGAGAGAGAGACGAGTAAGAGAGAGAGAGAGAGAATGAGACACAGAGATGTAGCAAAAATGTATTCCACTGAACTTTGACTTTTTTGTTGTTGTTTTTTTTTTTGGGTTTAGTTTAACACAAAATTGTGTTGAATAAAAGCAGAACAAATGCTCAATTAGTTTAATTGCGCGGCTCGTCGTTTGTGTCTATTTTATTTGTTATTTAATTTTGATTATTTTTACATTTTTCCAACTCTGTGCCAAACGTTTGGAATTAACAATTTGATGCTCAATAGAATTGCAACATCCAAAACGTGGTTAAAGATAAATATGTATGTATGTTTATTTATTTATTATATACAGGTATATCTACAGGTAATGATAAATACAATGCGCAACCACAATAACAACGCAAACCGCAAATTAGTCGCAAATCTTGCATGAACTTGATGCGCCTCTCTCTTTATTTATCCCGTACTCCCCTCTATCTGTCTAGGTTCTTCTTATTTATTCTGTCTGAACGATAACGAGTTATGCACTTTTTATTTGTATCCGTTTTTTTCGTAAACATGCCATCAAAATTCATTAGATAAAAGCGTTTTGGTTAATATTATCGCATTTTATGCATGCACTTGGTTTTTGCTCAAGTCTAGTACGCTGCTATTTGGCAAGCAAAATAAAAAAAAATAGCTTTGCTTCAATTATGTGCAAAATCTTAAATTATAGCTGTCAAAATTTTGACAGTCACTTTAACATGCTGTCAGGCTTGCTTTTGTTTATTTCACGTTTATGTCACCTCTGTCAAAATGTCAAAATTAAGCTAGCTGTTTATCCAGCATACCTTACATTTTTGACATATTAATAAATATGAAGCGTTGCCAGACTGCTAAGATGTGAAAACTTGAAAGTTTATTTTATAAAAATGCATACTGGTGTATCTAGCTGGCCAAATTTTCGTTAAGTTGTTGCCAAAATTTTACACAAATGTAAAAATCATAAGATAATGTAATTGTTTTCCTAAATTCTTAACTAAAGTGAATGTTATTGACAACGTTTACGTGTAGAATAGCTCACGGAAATCCACAACAATTTAATAGTATGTTAAATTAAGCTGTCAACAGACATAAACTTTATTGACATGGTCTTATAGTTCGTTGAACAGAGTGTGAGAGTTTCACATGCAAATTTATTCTTCATTATATTAAACTTGCTGTCAACTTACTTTGGCATTATGGTCACGGCGCTGCCACATATGCTAAGACTTTAATATATTTTGTAAGTAAACTAAAAACAATTTTATGTTCTTGTTGCGACATTTACATACGCACGCAGCGCATGGGTGAAAGGTTCAATAGAAACAGAAGCATGAGTACAAAAACGAGCAAGTACTCAATTACAGAATGAGTGCTATGCTAAAACAATGTTGCCAAATTATAAGAATTCCGAACAGCTTTAACTATTTAAACAATACTTGCTTAATTCATTTGTTGACTTATTGATTTACATACACTTTAATAGTAGCTTGAGCATAAATATTATTTTATTGATATAAATTATAAGTATCAATTATTTATTTTATATTATTATACATATTTTTTTTATCTATTTAATTATTACATAACTAATAAAAATTGTTATGAATATGATCAATTATTTTAAATTATAATGTATATTATTTATTTTATTAGACTAGTATGCATATTTTTTATTGTTACAAAGCTTATAAGCTATCAAAATAATGCCCGAGCTGCGTACCCAGCTTAAGATGCAATAATTCAATGCTGCTTATTATTATTGTGTTATTTTTTTTTGCTTACATTGAAAACCACAAGAACAACAAACGCAAAGCAGCCGCCAATTACAACAACGGCACACACGTAATTACAAGTGTGTGTGTGTGTGTATGTCACATTTGACAGCGTAGTGCGAGAAGATATCTCTCGGGCAAAACAATCACAACAACACTAAAAATAAAAACAACAACAACAACAACAGCTGCTACTTCAACTGTGAATGGGTGTGAATGTATCTTGAAGTGTGCGCCGCGCCGCTTTTGCCTTTTCGAATGTGTGAAAAACGCCCAAGCTCAAAAAAAAACACACATACACTCAACTGTGCTGCATGTATCTGTATCTGTTACTATGTATCTGCGTATCTGTTGGATACCGCACTTGGTATCTGCGAATTGGTTTTAAGTCGCAAAAGTTCAGCGCGCGCAACTGTGAAACATGCTGAAGATATTATCTCAGCTCAACTGAAGCCTTAAAATTTGCTATAAATATTTCATATTGCTTTGGCATTTCACATATCATTAAATATTGTATTTATTAAACCGTTTTCTTATGGAATTTATGAATGAATGCCAACATCTTGAGTGTCAAGACAATTTAGACAGTCGTTGGAATATGATATCATACCCAAAGATATTATTTGCTTAACTACGCCTGCAATGGCACGCGTGCTGCCTAATGCATTACCTACTTTATAATTCAGATTTTGTTTATGACTCAAACAATGAGCTAATATTCACAGCTTTGACTTCCACTCGAGATGAGATTGTTGGTTAGACACGAGTCTAGCAATGCATGCACTCTGACTGCAATTGATAAGAAGTACTTCGAATTTATAGTAAAAATAAAACATCTAAGAGTAATCATATAATAATTATTATCTTAAATGAGCATACATATTAAATGTATTATAGATGTATTTGGAAATTTTAATATATTATGATGTATATATTTTATTTATTAAATACCTTATTAGCTGGTTCGAGATCCAGCCAATTAAATATTTAAAAATGAAGAGGTTGCACAATCAGCATTATATATTTATTATTTTTATATAACTGAACTTTCAGTTTCATTAAAAAGTTATATACGTGTTTTATGCTAAATGGCTTTCTTCCTCATTTCTGAACACAGCGAATATTCTATCTCTGATATAAGTTATACAATTTTTCACCAGTAAATATTAAGATTAGATATTGAAAATTATAGTTTCGTCCAACGTATTATGTCGTCTTCTATCGACGTTTGTGAAATCTTTTAAATATTCCAATTTAATTCTAGCTCACTTTTTACAGCTATATGAATCCTTATGTCTTCTCAGAGCGCATTAAAAGAGTTATTCATCAAAACATTTGCTTTTTATCTAGTTTAGTTTAGTTCAGCTTCACTTTTCTCACATATTTGCAATATT